CGCCCGCGCTCGCTCCGCGCTCAGCTGGGCTCGTCCCTCGCGGCCATGCTCCCGCGCCCGGCCCCGGGCAGGCGCCTCGCCCTCAGCCCGCGCCGGCCGCCCCCTTCTGCGCCGGGGAGCGCTCCCGCCGCCGCCGCCTGTGCCGAAGCCGCCGCTCCGCTGCGGGCGCGCATTGGGCACTCCGGCGCCCGCGGCAGGCGAGCGGGGCGCCGCCGTCCGCTCGGCCGAGGAGGCGCAGAGGCGGGCACCGGAGGCGACGCCGAGTGAGGCGAGCGCCGCGCAGCTCGCGCTTTTCACCGGGAGGCGGCGAGCCACGTGCGAGCCCGAAGGGAGCGCGCGGGGGGGAGCGAGCGAGCGAGCGAGGCAGGCCGCGGCGCGGCTCGGGGGCGCCGCCGTGCGGCCGCGGCGGGCGCTCGCAGGCAGGAATCGCGTGCCTTCGGGCCGGGGAGGAGCGCTGAGGCCGGGACGGCCGGGCCCCGAGCCAGCGTCGAAAAGTTCGGCGGGGACCGGGAAGGGTAGGGGGCAGCTCATCGGGCTCTCGGGCCTTTCAAAGGGAAAACTGGGATCTGTTCATGGCTCCCTCTCCCTATAAATGTATATAAAACAGGGTTTGAGGAAATTGGGGCTGCATCCCATCCCTCTAGCCCACCCCTGGCGCCAGGCCCAGACGAGGGTCCAGGGGCTGCGAAGGCTCGGCTGAAGCGGCCCCGTTTAGCAACAGCACAAGCCGGTCTTGCCATCTTTTGCACTTAATGATGCAATCCTATGCGTGTTTAGATTGGGGGGGAGGAGCACGACCCCCAGCGTGGCCCAGCCAGCATGTTTCCAGCGGGGAGCTGTTGGGCTTTTTTTCTGTCTAAGCCTGCACAGGACTGCCGCCTAAGGGAGCACTTGGATTCTGGACCGGAGTGATTCCTGAGCGAAGGAATGCAAGTAGGTCAGCCGGGAACAATTGGCACCCTGCCTGTTGGCTCCCGTGTAAACGTGCTGCGTTAGGAAAGTCCTCTCTGTCCGCACTGGGTAGGGCTGGGGTGCTAAGTGTGCTGGAAAGTGCCACCCCATCCCTGCCATCCCTGCGGCAGCAGGAAGGAGGAAGGTGTGAGCTCTTCAGGGACTCCCAGGCCAGCCTCGTGCAGGTCTGGCTGGAGAAGCAGCATGGGAAGGGGTCGAGTGGTGAGTTCCAAGGAGCCGTCAAAGCGCCCCAGGCAGAGTTATGCAGGGCGCACTGGACACGGTGCACTGGGTTGGTGGTCGCTGGGTTTATAATGTGCAGATAGGAAAGCCCTGCTGGATCAGATTGTGGCATGCGCTCCCCAGAGGGGTCCGCCGGGCGCTGGCTCTACTCCTTTCGGCGCCAGGCAAAAAGCTTTTTATTTACCCATCATCTTAAGCATTACAGGATTTTAAATGGTTTTAATGTCAACAGTCCCATTCTGTTTTCATTTTGCTTTCATTATGTTTTTGTTTTGTTGGGATTATGAATGCTATTGTTTTGTAATTTATTTTCTTAATTATTGTAATTATTACTGTTTTATTGTAATTATTATTATTGTTTTAATTATTGTAAGCCATCCTGGGACGTTCTTACATATAGGACAGGGTCAAATGTTTTAAATAAATAATCCAGTCTCGCGCTCTGTGCACGCGTGGAATACCGGTTGCCCACAGGATCCCTCCAGCGGGAAGGCTGCAAGACCTCCTCCTGCCCAAGCCCCTCGGCCACTGGCGCGTGCAGGCCGGCCGGCCACCTCTGGCGAAGGAGGTTGCTAGCAGAGGCAGCTGTGTGCAGTGGGCACAACGCAGCCACATGCCTCCGTGCTGTTTGTGTGTAGAGCGATCTTTTCCCATCACTATCATGAAGCCACAGAGTGCGGCTGTGAGGTTCTAAGCCAGAGGGCAGAGAGTTCCTCCCCTCGCAGCCCACAGGCTTCTTCCCATGCCAACACACCCTGCAGCCAAAGCCCTCGAACTTGCTTCCTCTCAGCAGCTACCTGCTCGCTCACCTGCCTCTCTCTCTGATCCAGACAAAGATGGTGGTGACTAGCCGTCTGTCGAGCAAGAAAGAACTTTCCAAAAGGACACAGGACAAGAAGCAACGGCAGGCGGTTAGAAAGTAGACTCACTGAGGAAGGAGGCATTGGAGACTCAGAAAGATGGAGCTGCCCCCGGCCAATGGTACCTTCCTCCCCCACTCTGCAGGTAAAGGAAGGTTTAGGGGGAGTACGGCAGAAGAGGGTGAACCCCAGCTCCCCCAAGACTTCAGTGCCAGTCCAAATGTCTTCGCAACCGAAGGCCGGTGTGGTAAAAATATTGGACTAGGGACACAGGATATCTGGGTTCTAGATGGCCCCTCTTGGCCATGACGCTCACTGAGTGACTTTGGACCAGTTCCAGAGTCTCAGCCTGACTACCTCAAAGGGTGGTTGTGAGGATAAAATGGAATTATGGACGCTGCCTTGGGCTCCTCACAAGAGGGGAAAAAGGCAGACCATAAATGCAGTGTAATAATAATAACCTGCATCTTTGCCTGCCCCTCACTCTGCCCAGGTAACTAGGAGAAGCTGCAGATTCTACAGCCTGCTGTCTCTTGGCTCTCTGCCCATCGGGGAAGCAAATGGAAGCCATGGTGGGAAGAGGATGAGGAAAGAGAGCAGCTGGTGACCCCGACCTTGGGGAAGTGGGGTCACAAAGGGAGGGGCCACTGAGAATGTCTTTCCCAGAGGTTCTCAAGAACATCCAGTTCTCCTTCAGCTGTGCGATCAACAGCCTCAGCAGTCAAAGAAAGGTTGTAGCAGGCAAGGCCAGAGAGTTATGGCTAACACGTTCCATCCCACTTTAACAAAAATGAGGATTAGTCATGTTTGAGGTCATTTTTGATCCTAGTCAAAAGTGGCCCAGGCAATCTTGCCTCTGCAAAACCTTTGTTCTGGCTGAAATCTCCCCCCAGGAGAGTGGCTTTCACTCTCAGCAAGTACAGGTAATTTCAGGTTTGATCCTTCCTGAGCCTATGCAGAAAGAGAAAATCTGCATAACAATGCTTGGCCCATTAACTTTCTCTCTGCATAGAAATAATTCAGCCCACTAAATTTAAAAAATCATAACAAAGCTTTCCTTCAATGGATTCTGATTCCATTTGCTAAAGGTTTTAGCTGAGAATCTCAGCTTTAAAAAGGGACCGAGATGACCTGTATTGAATGTTCCTTTGTTCCTTTCTTTGGGGGCTAGCCTTTTGGGGTATAAAACTACCCCATACAATGATTCCTATGGAGATTCTGGGATACTTCTGTGCCCCAGGCATGGAATGGTTATTGGAGCAGGAGGCATGAAAGGTGAAAGGCTGAAATTTAGACTAGGTTCTTTGTGACAGTGTCCTAGAAGAACAAGTACATAGGAATAATTATGTGTAAATTACAGTTCAAAAAGTGAGCTGGATGGTGCCAGTTATGCTACCCTGTGGGACCTGGTTTTGTTACCTTCTTAAGACTGCAGAAAGTAGTAGTGTCAGGTAGCTCACAGACCAGAAAATGGGACTGAAG